AAAATGATGAGTTCGTGTCTTTGGTAGGGACATGGATGAATCTGTAAACCATCATTCTCAGCAAGCTGACAGAAGAACAAAAAATCAAACACCACTTGTTCTCACTCATAAGCGGGTGTTGAACAATGAGAACATATAGATACATGGAGGGGAGCATCACACACTGGGGTCTGTTGTGGGGTATAGGGGAGGGACAACGGAGGGCAGGGAGGTTGGGAAGGGATAACATGGGGAGAAATGCCAGATATAGGTGACAGGGGTTTGGAGGCAGCAAACCACATTGCCATGTATGTACCTATGCCGCAATCCTGCATGTTTTGCACATGTACCCCAGAACCTAAAGTGCAATAATATATATATGTATGAAGTCTTATTAATTTTTTAAAAAATCATATTTGTTTGTTATACTATTGCCTCTAATTAACTGCATTGTGAAAACAATCATTGTTCATCAGTAAGAGACTGGCTTAATGAATTGTTGTTTCCATACTAGAAAGTACTGTGGAGCCATTGAAAGGAATAGGAGCACTATGTCTTTCTTTACAAATAAATCCTATCTTGAGCAATCCTTTAAAATGTTCAGCATGTGTTGTATTTTAACTGAAACGAATGTTCAGATTGCTAATATTGTGGTGGATACTCTTTTTGTTAATATTGTTGTGTCAGTGAGCATATACCATTTCTGGAGTGATTCATGGGAACCTATTCATGGTAATTACCACTGAAAAGTGAAACTGGAGACTAGTGGGTACAAGTGAGACTTATCCTTTAATTTTTCAGCCAAGCTTTGCTCTTGATTTTAAATTCTAGTTATTTTTTTAAAGGTGTCCTTCTCTTCTACCCCCATTTAATAGTGGACCTTTCTTTTATTGAGGCCTATATCACACCTTCTCACATTTCCTGTCTCCCTTGCATTCCCTTTGTTCCCTTTGTTTTATTCAAACTAGCCTTATCCATTCCATATGTATGCTTGCTGTATATTTTCTTACCTAGATTATTAAGATCCAACTAGGCTGTTGTTTTTTTCTCTCTGCTGTTGTATACACGTGTATTTAACAGATCATGTTATTCAAACGCATTACATTTATCATTAGATTGTCATATGGAGCATGCAATCTAGATCCCTCTTATGTGCAGTTCACAAAAGGGCTTGTCTCATGCTTCCACTGATCTGACAGGAGGCACAGCTTAGGTGGTGATGCTTGCTCACCTGCCGCTCACCTCCTGCTGTTTGGCCATGCCATGGTCTGGTACTTCAGGGCCTGGGGGCTGGTGACCCCTGGCTTAAAGAACAGACATTTATTTCTCTATAGACTGGAAAGTTCAAGATGAAGTTGCTAGCAGATTTGATTCTTGGTCAGCTCCCTCTTCCTGGCTTGCAGATGGCCACATGCTTGCTATGTCCTTTTGTGGCAGTAAGAGAACTAGTTCTGGTCTCTTCTCTTATAAGGACAGTAATTTCATCTTCAGGGCCTCATTTTTATAAACTCATCTAATTGAATTACCTCCCAAAGACCCTACTTCCAAAATCATCACATTGTGTTGGTACTCCGACATACAAAATTTAAAGTGTGTGTGGGCACAAATATTCAGTTCATAACAATAATATAGGTTCAGAAATCCTTAGCCAAAATCCTTGGATCAAACATAGTGTAAAATTTAGAATTTTTCATTTTTTTAGAATATATATATATTATATATTAATTAAATACCCTCTAAAAGAACCAGAGCAGCAGCCCTCTTACTCTCTTTCAAGCACATTAATAGCTCTTCAGTGAATATATATTAATTAATAGTCACAGTGAGTTACTTTTAAAAGACCCATGTTAGTTTAAGTCAGGTTTAATCAACAAATGAGTTAGGGAAAAAGTTTGATTTCTGGAACATTTTAGATTTCAGAAATATGGATAAGTGATTACAGACCTACATAACTTTTTTCCATTTGAAATATAACTCACCATGAAATTCATCTTTTTAAAGTGTAACTGCAGTGATTTTTAGAATATTCACAAGATTGTGCAGCTATCACCATCAAATGCCAGAACATTTTATTCCCTTGAAAAAGAAATCCATACCCATGAGCAGTCTGCCCCATTCTCCCTGTCTGTGGCAACCACTAATCTTTCTATCTCTATGGATTTGTCTGTTCTAGACATTTCATATAAATGGAATCATTCAATATGTGGTATTTTCTGTCTTCATTTAGCATAAATGTTTTTAAAGATTTATTCATGTGCATGTAGCATTATTTCATTCCTTTTTATATTGAATAGTATTCCATTGTATGAATATACCACATTTTGTTTATCAGTTTATCAACTCATGGACATTTGGATTTTTATATTTTAGTATTATAAAAAATGCTGATGTGAACATTTATATACAAATTTTTGTGTGGATAGATGTTTTCAGTTCTGTTTGGTATATACCAAAGACTGGAATTGCTGAGTAATAACTTTTTGAGGAATTGTCAGCCTCTTTTTTAAAGCATCTGCATCATTTTACATTCCCACCAGAACTATATGAGCATTCCAATTTCTCCACAGCCTGATAAACACTTGTTAATTTTTTTTGTTTATAGACATCCTAGTGAGCGTGAAGTAGTGTGGTTCACATTTCTCCAGTTCACACTGTGGGTTTAATTTACATTTCTCTAGTGAATGATATTGAGCATCTCTTCAGGTGCTTATTGGCCAGTTGTGTATTTTCTTTAAAGAAATGGATATTCAAATCCTTTGCCCATTTTTTTTCAGTTGGATTGTATTCTTATTATTAAGGTGATAAGAGTTCTTTATATTCACAAAACAAATATTTTCTCCTATTCTGTGTGTTAGCTTTTCACTTTCCTGATAGTATCCTTTGAAGCAAAAGAATTTTTAATTTAGACAAAGTCCAATTTTTCTTCTGTTGCTTGTGATTTAGGAATCTTATCCAGAAAATCATAGTCTAATCCAGAGGTCACCTGTATTCTGTTAAGAGTTTTTATAGTTTACTAGCTCTTACATTTGGGTCTTTTGTCCATTTTGAATTAATTTTTATATGGTGTGAGGTAAGAATACAGATTTTTGCATGTGAGTATCTCCTTGCCCCAGAACTATTTATTAAAAAGGCTCTTCTTTCCCCATTGATTTTTCTTGGAATCTGCTTTTATGGAGGATAAAATGTTCAGTGCTTACTCCATTTTTATTGATGTTACCTCTATAATTTAATTTTTATTTTAAAATTGGCATTATAGCTAGAATGTAATATATAGAATTTAGGTCAATCCAATGTGGTCATCATTGATATGATTCTGTAACTACTAATTTAAGTTCTAGTAAATATGTATAGTTTTCTTGGCCTTTACAAAATATTTATATTTTTACATTTTTTCTGTGTTCTGTTAGGTCACTGAATAAGCAGTCTAACTCTGGGTCAGTCATCTTTACAGATTGGGAAGATAGCTAAGAAGATTTTTAAAACTTTTTTTAACTTTTTTTTTTTTGCCAAAATGGACATCAAAGGAAGGGAATCTTAACTTCAAATGCTGTTTCTATATCATGCTTTTCTACTACTAATTGGTACTTGGTAGTTATACTGCCTCATGCTACAAACTATTTTTTGTTAACAGCTATTAGGAAGAAATGTGTTTCACCTGAGAATCATAAGTATAAGGCTGTTTCCTTTCAGTTCACCACAGTACCAAATATAGATGCCTGAATCTGGTAGAAAAAAAAATTGGATAACTCCTTTATACTGTCTACCAATGAACACTTGTTACTGTAAAGGAGTCACTTCAAAATCTTTTGCAATGAAACCCTTTTTAAATAATGAATTCTTTTGTGGAATCCCAGCATGAAAAATAGTATATGCAATATAACTCTGTTTTCAAGAGATGACTATAGCCTTCTTGATCCCCTCTCGTTGTCAACTCTCTCCTTCCCAGTGAGCCCCAAAGGCACCTTGTCATAACTGAAGAATTCCCCAGAGCACAGGTCCAAAATTACTTCAAAAAATCATCTTTTCAGGCTAGGTAGGTTCATGTGTTACTTCTTCTGTTCTCTCAGGATTCTAAGATTTACTTCAATAGTCATGTGAAATGAGATGAAAAAATCTCCCTACCAGTCATGATTTCATAAGATGCATTGATCTATTTATATCAATTCCAGTTAAAGGAGGAGCCCAACACACTTAACTGTGCTTACTGAGACTTCCCTTTTTTGGTTTGGCCTTGCCAACTCTTTAGCCCAGTTGTCCCTGGAACTTGAGGAAGATTTCACCTCTTTTGTATTCTGAAACTTTTCATTAGAGACTCAGTTATAATATTTTTCTTCCTCTTTTTCTACCATCTTAATATAAAGTTCTTACAATTGGGAGAAATGTGTTCTACTACTTACAGTGCTTAGGACATTTTTCCACAGAAACATTATTTTGCATGACAAGTTTTTCAATGTTGTTAGTACTGTTTCAGGAATATATCATTTGTATAGGCTTTTCTGGATTGTAATATAATTTAACCACTATACATATAATTTATATATATTATTACTTCAATGGGAAAAATGTTCTGAATTTTCTATTTTAACAGGGTAATATAAACTGTATTTTACAGTTTTGGGGGGCGTGTGCATCTGTGTGTGTTTGTATTTGTGTGTGTCTGTGTCTGTATGTGTGTCTATGTGTCTGTGTGTTAGTCATAATGTACTTTTCAGTCAACATTAAAGTCTCATTTCAGTGTAATAGAATAAATCCTTGTATTTGGTCTAGCAAAGAGTTTCATTTTTTTTACTTATTAGTGAAGACCAAATGGTTTGTCTCTTTTATGTACATGTTCTCGGTCAAGTAGTTTCATAATGAAAATTCAGGTATAAATGCCTGGAATTGCATACTAAATGAAAATGTATTTTAGATTGCTTTTGTTGTCATTGTCATATTCTAGCAACTAATATTGAATATAATGGTTTATGCTTTTAATATCAGCTTTTAGAACTATATTTTAATGAATATATATTTGCTTTTAGATCGTCTGGGGAATATTTTTCATCTTAGTTGCATTGCTGTTTGTAATTTCTCTCTTCTTGTCAAAGTAAGTACAGTAGACACATTTTCTAAAGCACTTATACAAATTCTGTGATAATATACATTTTGGTGCTGAATGCCATTAGTGTATGCTATTCATCTTCAGTAGCTTTTTTACTTGAAGTGTTCTATTAACTCAAAGAATGGCTAAAACATTCAGTAATAGAGTATTTCTTTATTCTTCATCAATCGAACAGTATCTGTGAGATATTTAAGTGTCGTTTAATTTGTTATCCATTGTTTTATTTGACTCAGATGTATTTTCATGCTTAAATTATGATATTTTTTCTAAATTTGCTAAAAATGTGATCATATAACAGAAATTTCATTCTTTATAATTTTTTTTTTAGTTTAGATAAAGCCCTTCATTCAGCTGGAATAGATTCTGGTTTCATAATTTTTGGAGCTAACCTGAGTAATCCACTAAATATGCTTTTGCCTTTATTACAAACGGTAAGTAAAATACCAATCATTTTATACTGTAGCTGCTAGAATATAAAATGCTAGATTCTAGCAAACATTCTGACATTCTGTTCCACATAAAATTATTATGCTAAAAACCTATTAGTAGTTTGACATATGCTTATATTCTTCGATAGTTTTATTTTTTATTTGCCTATAATTTATACATTGACATGTTGCTTTAAATATTATTATATTGATATATTCCTGGACTTTTATTTTAGACATAATTTGATTTGGGATATATTATATAATATAAGGTGACCTTCTCTAAATTATTTTTTGTTTTAATGTTTAATCAAGTTTTTTATTTAATAGATAAATGCAGTTTTAGCTTAATTTGCTTTAGGATTTTTCTTAGGATAATGGTATTAAAGTTTTTGTTAATAGTTTGGTACTTGTTTGTTTTCTGAGGATTTTTTTTAAACACAGTAGCCTAATCTAAATCAAGGTCGATAAAGTAAACAATAATGAGTTTTTTTAGTTTATTTTATATGACTGTTAGGGTGCTTATAGTTTATATGCTAAATTTAATTTCATCTTTTTTTTCAGGTTTTCCCTCTTGATTATATACTTATAACAATTATTATTATGTACTTTATTTTTACTTCAATGGCAGGAATTCGAAATATTGGCATATGGTTCTTTTGGATTAGAGTAAGTATATTTTACAGTATTATTTTTTTCTCATTTTGTGTGTAATCTTCATTATTGTGAATTATCTTAGATTTAGAATATAGAAGCTGCAAGTATTTTTATACCACAAGTGAGAGAAATACTAGCTTTTTCACTTCATATTGACCTAAAAGTACTTTTTATCTAGAGCAGTTGTTCTTAAACAAGGGTGATTTTACCCCCAGAAACATTTGGCAGTATCTACAGATATTTTTAGTTGTTATAATTGGGGAATGCTACTGGCATGTCGTGGGTAGGGGCCAGAGATTCTTATTAAAAATGCTGTAGTGCACAGGACAGACTTACTCAGCCTAAAATGTCAGTAGTTCCATGGTTGAGAAACCCTGGTCCAAAAGTTACATAATTTCTTAACAGAAACACATTAGAATACAACAGATACACTGAAGCCCAAAAGGTAGCCCTCCCTGTTACAGTTAAAGATTACCATGTCATTGGTTATTTTATTCTTATGCTTATTTTGAGATGAGTTAACAATTTTAAAATGAAGCTATATCAGGTAGACACTACTTACAGCTGTGAATAAAAGAGAACTCAGTTGAATAGTGGCTTGAACTAATGAAAGTTTTCTTGCTAAGGGAAAAAAGAATCTAGTATTGCTTCAGTAGCTCAAAAAAGTCAGGTCCAATATCTCTGTAATTCTTTGAGTATCTCTGTCATGATTGTAGTATTACTGCTGCAGTTTCCTTTATCGTGTTCATATTCTGTAAAGAGAAAGGTAGTTAGGAGAAAGGGGTATACAACTATATCAATAAGACAAGCCTTTTACAGACATCCTTAACAGACTTCTGCTTTCCTATTCATGTTTAATATCACATGCCACTACTTGCTGTGAAAGAACCTGGGACATGTAAATTTATAAGTGATTTACTGTCATCCCATCTAGAATTGGAGTCTGTACTACATTAGTGTACAATGTAGTGTATTACAATCTAGTAATAAAACAGGGAGGTGATACTTAAGTTGCTAAAATAAAAGCATGTTATGCTTTTGAAATGATGCAAGTTGCCTGGTTCCTTATGTTTCATTTACCATGTGTTTTCATTTCCCTTTAGTATAGATACATGTGAAAATGTCTTTAGTAAATATATCAGAATTTTTCATAAACGAATTTTTATGGCAAAGTATAAGGATGACATGAGTATTTCATAGAAATGGATGTTTATAAACACATGACATTGTCTATTTTTAAGCAATATTAAAAATTATATAAAATTGTTACATATTACTAATACTTATAGTTTAAAGTCATACTCCTAATCTTTAGCTAGTACTAGAGATAATTCACAATTAGCTCCATGCACTTCTAACAGATGCTTTTACACAATAAGTTTAGAAGATTTCTCTGGAAATAGACCATGTGAATAGTCTTAAAATTGTTTGGGATGATTACAAATTTTTAGAATATATTTTGGAAAAAAAAATGGTTGATTGAACTTTGTAAATAATTTCCCATAATACAAGAACAGGATTTAATGGTTTACAAATGAAATATATTGTTGAAATTTTGTCACTCTTTTCTTTCCAGTTATATAAAATCAGAAGAGGTAGAACCAGGCCCCAAGCACTCCTGTTTCTCTGCATGATACTTCTGCTTATTGTCCTTCACACTAGCTACATGATTTATAGTCTTGCTCCCCAATATGTTATGTATGGAAGCCAAAATTACTTAATAGAGGTAAGTGAAATACTTAAAACTTGATTATTTTGATATTTTAAAGATAGTGAGATTTAAAGTCAAATTTTAGTTGTAGTGGTTAGCAAAAGGTATTAGCTTATCAGATTAAATTTAGTGTTGCTAAAACTGGTTTTTTATTTATAGTTTTTAGCATATTTATATTTGTTTCATACTGTTTTTTTGAAACAACACACAGAATTTCATTATAATAGTTCCTTAAATGTGTCCCGTGGTGCTAAGCTACTGAGCTTTACCTTAGCACTTTATTAAAACTCATAATACTTCCTCTAAAATAACATTTTAAGTAATTTTAATAATATGGCTCCCAAAAAAAAGTTTTAGTGAGCATAGCAGGTCTGTTCATTGGCACTATGAATCCTCTAGAAGAACCTTTTATAAACATTTTATTTGTAGATAACTAGACATTCTTTTAACATGATGGGTATCCTCATATATGTTCTGCTGATTTATTGATGCTATTGATCTCTCAAAAGCCAGCTGTGGTTTTTAGTTTTAATAGAACAGTAAGTTTGGATTTTCTGACAATTCAAAATATTCTGACTATATCTGATTCAAGCTTTGTTTAGTTTGTTTCCTTTTTAAAATACCTCTTGCTCTACTTCTTAACTGTTCAAACCATATTTATGTTTCAGGGCCTGATCAAACATTGCTTTAGTGGAGTCTTTCATTATTAAAATCAGTGTGCCCAGATCGTTTCTTTTTTATCCTCTACGTCCTCCATTCTTTCTTTACTTTAACCTGCAATTAGAAAGAAAAATCTAACAAACATACCAACCATCAATCAGTATCATCCATAATATTGTTGAGTGTTAAAAGGCTATTTCACTGAAAAATATTAAGTTATAATGTAGGCGAAACAGATAAAGCACAGATCATGATGGAGGTACATGAATGACCTGCGTTTGGAAAGTTGCGTGAACCATATTTCTCACTTCTTTTACCTTTTTATTCTCTTCTTGCCTCATCCCCTTCACCTAGCTCACTAGGTCATGATTATTAAACATTCTCCTATGAGAGAATGAAGGAAGATTATGCTTTTGCTTGGACAAAAGATATTCTTTGCATGTTCCACAGTCTGAAAATAGCATTCTTTTCAGATGCTGTACTTGTACTAAAAATGGAATTTGTTTGTTCCGGGAAGAAGTCCTGTTGTTCAACACAGGACCTAAAGGATTATTGCAAAAAGCCTTAATATTTAATTTACTATAATTATTTTTCTTCTAAGAGCAATGTTGCATAAAATTAACATTTTAGAATGTTAGGTAGATGTAGTTAGTAGAAAACAGTATACAGTACATAGCGTGATTACTTTTAAATTCCAAATGTATTTATTAATGAGGTTTTTACATTTTAATTACATTTTTGTCTTTCAGACAAATGTAACTTCTGATAACCGTAAAGGCAATTCAACCCTTTTTGTGCCAAAGAGATGTGATGCAGATGCTCCTGAAGGTAAAAGCAGCTTGTATCAATTGTTTTAGAACTTTTAAATTTGTAGGAAAAGAATTTCCTGGCATTTTGCTGTGTTAATCATCTGATGCATTTGTTTTACTGCGTGGTAAGAAGGAAACTTCTAGCAAGTAGAGGTTGGTAAATCTCTTCAGTAGAATTTCTTGTTGATGAAGTGATTTGCATTAGAGAAAGAACCATTAAAATTTCTTAGGAAGTAACAAAATATAGTTATTATTTATCACATTACTAGTGTAATAAGAAATCACTCAAGTGATTTTTTCTTTTCCTTAAAAACACAAAAGAGTTTGGTGGAATCTACAGTTCTTAGTACCAGAACCAAAAGTACTTATGACCTAGAACAATTTTTAATTCATCCAAGTCTAGTTATTTAATTTAATAATACTACTGTTAGTTATAATAGCAGTTAACTTTAAAAAACATACAGCTGTTTTTAAGGCACTCTGTTAAGTATCATATGTGTATTTGGACAAAAATTCTGTGCTCTTAACACCTGTGCATTTTTAGAGTATCTTTTCTATGTGAGCTGTTTAGGTGATTTTTTTTCTTTGAATGTCATAGTACTCATTTCTGATTAAGGATTCCTGGTTCATTCTTTCAAAATTTGTAAAAGTGTTTTCTATACTTGCCTTCAATATGCCTTTATTTTATGGTAAAGTCATGTATCAAATATAGTATATTTCTGTATGAATCATGTGTTATAAAAACACAAATTCTGAGTTTTTGTAGCAAGGTCAACTATGTAATGTAATAGAGTATTAGGAATAAGTACAGGGTACAGGGATGGGCTAGAGGAAGAAGCAATTAACTCTACATTGTGGGGATCACTGTGGAATAGTAGTCATAAAAGAAAGGTTTCAGAAAAGAGATACCAGAGCTACATTTTAAGGTTATCTGGTATGCACACCAAAGGAAAGCTGTTTTGGCAAAAGAATAAACTGTACAAACAGTTACCTTAAATTGCACAGGTATGTGTTCAAGAGAGTTTGAAACATTGGTTTGGTCTTGTTTTCTCTTTTAAATTAGGGGCATAGGGATTGGAGGGAGGAAGGCAGAGTTAGGAGTCATATCATAAAAGGTTTTGGAAAATGACTAAAGAGATAATGAAGTGTTTCAAATAAAAAGAAATGATCTGATTTCTTTTCAGTAAGTTAATTATAACACTTATATAGATAATGGATTTGGGAAATTGAGACCACAGTATGGAAATCACTTAGGGGAGGGAGAGCTATCTAAAATAATCCAAGAGAGTTGAAAGCCTGAACTAAACAGTGGTCATGAGGGTGTGAAATAAAAAAATTTAGAAGTAAATTGAAAGAATTCCCAAATGTTAGATATAGAGCAGTGGTGAGAGAAACAGAAGATTCTAGAATGACACTGTAGTTCCTGAGTACTTGATTAATTTTGGTGTTGCCAGCTGAAATAAAAAATGCATTGGGAGGCCAAGGTGGGCAGATCACCTGAGATCAGGAGTTCAAGACCAGCCTGGCCAACATGACAAAACTCTGTCTCTACTAAAAATATAAAAACTAGCTGAGTGTGGTGGTACACCTCTATAATCCCAGCTACTTGGGAGGCTGAGGCAGGAGAATTGCTTGAACCTGGGAGGCAGAAGTTGCAGTGAGCCAAGATCTTGCCACTGAACTCCAACCCAGGTGACAGAGCAAGACTCTGTCTCAAAAATAAAAAAAGAAACAAACAATAAGAGTAGAGAAAAATGTGAAAAATGATTAGTTGACTTGAGATATCTCAAGAATGTTTAGGTGGAGTTTAAGCAGTTGGATATACAGTTGGCCCTCCATATTCATGGGTTCTAGATCCATGGATTCAGCCAACTTTGGGTCAGAAATAATTTGGAAAAAAATAAAAGATAATAAAGCAACAATTTAAAACACACACACAAAAAGCAATGCAGTATGGCAACTATTTACATAGCATTTTCATTGTGTTAGGTGTTATAAGTAATCTAGGGATAATTTAAAACGTGGAATGATGTGTATAAGTACATTGTTTTATATAAGGGACTTGAGCAAAAGGATGAATGATGGGCCAATATCATCCAGATCTGGAGGATATGATATTAAGAATATCCAGGACAGAATGCTTTAGATGGAATGAGGAATGTTTCTTTCTGTAAATTGCAAGGAAGGAAGCAAGGATATGGCCTCAAATAGTAACTTGTTACTATCTGAGTGTAGGCAAGAAGTGGCATTTCTGTATAATTGTCACAGCTGGCTGTAAAGTATGAGCTCAGGCCATGTACTGAGAATTAAGTAGGCTATGGGATAGACAGTTGATGAAATAGGAAAAACTTTTGATAGCCTATGAAGGGGATTAGGAGAGGATCTAACTGAAGGTAAGTTAGTGATAGGTAAATATGTCAAGGGACAGAGTTGGGATTATCAGTTTTATATCTTTATTGAACAGGTCTGCACAACTTGCATAAGTTTTCTCCATCAGTTCTTAGATTGTATGGGGGAAAGTACGGATTGAAGAACTGAAGTAGAATTGCAGATTTAAGGATGAAAGCAAAGGACAAGTTGAGGATTAGAAAATAAACAGTGACCACAGAGTCCAGAATTCGGAGGGAAATAAGGGAAGAGACTAAAACTGAGAGAAAGGAGCAAAATCAAGAGATGATATGGATAAACATCTGATGAGGACAACTTTATTTTGCCTAAAGAAATAATCATAAAATATTGTTAGTATAAATAAATACAACAGAACTTTCCAGTTATTCTTAATGTTGTTAGTTCAAGATTTTTTACTTTGAAATGTTTACGTACATCACAAGCAAGGTTGATGGTTGAAGTGCTTTGGGTTGCCATTATTAGCTAGATGAAAATAGAATGAAAAATTAGTGTTTAATTGGTTTGTAATTTGTTTTTAACCAAGGAGTCAATGACCTTGAAGATCTAAAATAGATTCTGTTCAAATTGTTACAGTAGAATTGAAACAGCGGAAAAACAAAAAAACAAATTGTGGTTTCAAAATTATGTTAGACTGATAAAGGGAGCTTCAGAATGCCCTGTATTGCTGGACTGAGTGAGTTTTTTATATTATAGGTCAGTAAGATTTAGTCAAATAATACACTTGACTGTAAATTTTTTATGAGTAACATTCAGTATTTTTCTTTTTCAGTCTAATTGATAGTAGTTAAAAAGGACTCCCTTTGAACCACTGAATATTTTTTCTTAAACATTTTAGTTGACTCATTTTTTGAAATGTTATTTTGAAGTACAAAAACATACCCTTTAGTTTTATGGGTTTATCTTTCCCAATTTTTGTTGTTGTTGTTGTTTTTCTACAGCACATCTCTAAACATTAAATTTGCCAGTACATACTTAGAAGAGGATGGTAGAAATTGTATAACTATATTTGGGATGGCAGGATAGTTTTTTAAGTGAACACATTAAATGATGATAGAGGAAGATAAGCAGATTAAGACACTGGATTAGACACATAAGGGTGGGAATGGGTTGGCATCCCTACCCTTAGGGTGAGGGATGGTGAGGGACTTGTATAGCAGTACCCATCTAACTAGAAACTAGAAAATCTCAGCATGCAGAAAAAAAAAATTAACATTATTCTTTATGACATATTTGATGGCAACATTTGGCTAGACTAGATGATACTATAATAAATAACCCATAAGACATTTGATGGCACCTTTGCAATGTGTTCATTGCAAGTAACAGAATTTTAGAGAATGATTTTTAGATTTAAAAACAAAAATTTTAATTTATAATGTTGTAATTAAAATTCTTTGTGAGAAGTTAATCTTGGAGAGATATTAAAGCATCAATTTGTAAAAATATGTATATTGCTGTCTTATCAATATTAAACATTTTAGACTTTTAAAATTAATATTTTGGTTATATGTGAGGTGATCTGACATTTATTAAACATAGAAAATATTGCTGGACATGATACTGATACCAAAACAGATATATAGACCAATGGAACAGAACAGAAGACTCAGAAATAACACCACACATCTACAACCGTCTGATCTTTGACAAACCTGACAAAAACAAGCAACGAGGAAAGGATTCCCTGTTTAATAAATGGTGTTGGGAAAACTGGCTAGCCATATGCAGAAAGCTGAAACTCGATCCCTTCCTTATACCTTATACAAAAACTAACTCAAGATAGATTAAAGACTTAAAAGTAAGACCTAAAACCATAAAACCCTAGAAGAAAACCTAGGCAATACCATTCAGGACATAAGCACAGGCAAAGACTTCATGACTAAAACACCAGAAGCAATGGCGACAAAAGCCAAAATAGACAAATGGGATCTAATTAAATTAAAGAGCTTCTGCACAGCAAAAGAAACTGTCATCAGAGTGAACAGGAAACCTATAGAGTTGGAGAAATTTTTGCAATCTACCGATCTGACAAAGGGCTAATATCTAGAATCTACAAAGAACTTAAATTTACAAGAAAAAAACAACTCCATCAAAAAGTGGGCAAAGGATAGGAACAGACACTTCTTGAAAGAAAACATTTATGTAGCCAACACAAACACACAAAAGCTCATCATCACAGTCGTTAGAAAAATGCACATGGAAACCACTGTGAGATACGATCTCACAACAGTTAGAAAGGCAATCATTTAAAAAGTCAGGAAACAACAGATACTGGAGAGGCTGTGGAGAAATAGGGACATTCTGACACTGTTGGTGGTAGTGTAAATTAATTCAACCATTGTGGAAGACAGTATGGTGATTCCTCAAGGATCTAGAACTAGAAATACCATTTGACCCAGCAATCCCATTACTGGATATATACCCAAAGGATTATACATCATTCTACTGTAAAGATACATGCAAATATATGTTTATTACAGCACTGTTCAAAATAGCAAAGACTTGGGATCAACCCAAATGCCCATCAATGATAGATGCGACAAAGAAAATGTGGCACCGTGGAATACTGTGCAGCCATAAAAAGGATGACTTCATGTCCTTTGCAGGGAC